TCTCTCTCTCTCTCTCTCTCTCTCTCTCTCTCTCTCTCTCTCGATATATATATATATATATATATATATCCCTTCTTCCTCCATTTTCTCTTTCGGTTTCACTAATTCAATGGTTAAGCTGTAATTTATCTGCTGATTCTTAACAGGTTCTGAGGAACAATTCCGATGGTTCTGAGATTGGTTCCTTAATAAAGTTGATGGACAACACTCTCACTGCATTTGGTTCTAGACTTCTGAAACACTGGGTATGCCATGTGATTTCTTGATGATCACACCCGTTTAATTGATGAGTGAAGATATGCATCACTATATATATATATACATGAAGAGGATCATAACATGGCTATAATCTCACTCATCCTAGAAGAATCTTTTTGGAGAAATTTTGAAAAATACATAAATAAAATAGCATAATTTTCTTGGATCACTGGTACTTTGATATGCCAATTGTTGAACGATATTATATCCATTAGATCAAGGAATAACTTCTTTTAAATATCTTGAAATCCTTACAGTCCTAAAATTTATTTGAGAGAGGGTTAACTTTGTATTGCTGTAAGATCGTATACAAAACTGTCAATAAATGGTGCTCTATAAGTTGGGTGCTCTATACATCATAATCAAACAGAGAAAATAAAAAAATCAGGGGGTATCTAGAATGGCTTAAGCCAAAATATACATGTCATAGATCAAAAAAGCAAAAACTGGGACCATTGCTTCAAAATGTTGCTATAGTAGAGTTCCATCAATGCTTTAACCCTCTCTCAAAAAGAACAGTAATTTCACGTAAGTACATTATTATATTATAAAGCAATAGTTTTAAATGACGGGCAGTAAAGGGGTGGCAAATGGACCCACCCACCACTGGGTCATCTCCTACTATTGTGGATCCCGCTAACTTCCCATACTGTTCATCATTAATAACATGTTGATGATCCCAATGAACTGATTTCCCATAGCTGATTGGATTATATTAGATTTTTCCTTCACCTAACTACCAAGGACACTGCCATTAGAAGGAAGTTACTTGACCTGGACAATATTTTATGGAGTTCTTTGTTCTCTAAAATTTGGGAACTACTGGGTGCAGTTGACCCATCCTCTGCGCGACAGGATCTCAATCTTGGCACGCCTTGATGCAGTTTCTGAGATTGCAGATTCGATCCGTGTGGGTGAAGGTGCACATAATGCAGCAGACAATGAATCCACTGATTGTGGTGCAAAAGTGGTCCGCGTTGAACTTTACAATCTTCTTTCGTCAGTTTTAACCACATTGGGTAGGTCTCCTGATGTTCAAAGGGGAATTGCACGAATTTTTCACCGAACAGCCACTCCAAAGGAGGTAAGAAGCAAAGGATTTAAATTGGAAAAACTTTGAAACAAATACCTTGTGTTGTATGTGTGTGTTGATTAATTTTTAAAGGCTCGTGTATATTATAGCTGACAATGTTAATCTGAATGCTTCAGTTCATTGCAGTCATCCATGCATTATTGTGTGCTAGTAAACAACTTCAACGACTTGACCTTGGGGAGGAAAGTAACGAGGGACCAACGAGTCCTCGATCAGATTTATTAAGAAGATTAATTTTGACAGCATCATCATTGAAAGTAACAAGCCATGCTGCAAAACTTCTCTCCGCTTTAAACAAGGATGCAGCAGACCTAGGAGATATAAATAATCTGTTTATAGCATCAAATGACAAGTTCCAAGAGGTACTGACTCAATATAAGTGTTTTTTTTAATTAAAAATTCCATTATGCTTTATGTATTTGTATTTTCTCTTATTTTATGTACTTGTTATTGAATATGTTGATAGATGAGCAGGTTGCAAGAGGCTGCACAGCTGTTCAGGCAGCTGAGGAAAAATTGGATGCTCTAATTGGTCAGTACAGGAAAATACTTGGAATACGGAATTTGGAGTTCTTGAGCGTCTCTGGTTCCACTCACTTAATAGAGGTACAATATCAGCTTCAATCCAAGATCATGATAAAATTCCTTTTTCTGCATATGCAGGCAAAGATCATCATTTTAGCCTTTTTCTAATTAATTGCGGTCGGCTACATGAAACATGGTTCTCCATTCTGCTCTATTAGAGGCCATATCCTTAGTGAGGCCATAAGTCTCCATATCTTTTCGGACTACTTCTAATCATGTCATTTTGGGCCTACCCCTTCCTTTTTCAGTCCTTCCACTTGAATTAATACACCTTTTGTTATTGGAAAAAGTTTATATAAGTTTTCAACCTTACTTCAAGTAAGGTTGCAGTAAATTCAAACAGAGTAAATTTGACACTATTAAAAGATGTACTACGTTTTGACACTATCTTAAAAGACATGTCAAATCTACACCTCCAACTAAAATGGACGGTGTAGAGCATTGCATTCTTACTTCTACAAGTAAGGTTGCAACGTTATATAAACCTCACCCTTTGTTATTAGCATCTAGTTGGATTTCATTGAAAAGTCTACTAATAAGGTTAGATTTTTAATTTGATGGTCTCCAATCAAATACGCTGTGGATTTCCAGGCTCTTTGTACTATTTGTTGTGCTTTTAGTGGACATTCATTTCCTCCTGCCTGCTCTTGGGGTGTGAAACTTTTTCTTTGCAGTGAGGCATGCTATTAACTCTTTCTTTTGACAATTGAGGATGGTTTACACTCATTTGTTCCAATTCTTCATATGCTTTGTTTTGTCCCTCAAGGTTCCTTTTCTTTTTTGTGTGCTCCAAGCTGTAGAGAGAGGGAGGGAGGGAAGCCATCTCAAATCACTCTATGTGCATTGTCAGGCAGTTTTTCAGTTTCTTTGAACATATAGAACAGAATACTGGCCATTAAATTGAAGAACCATAACAGGCTACTTATTCCATTTTTATTTTATTTCTTTGCTTTTTCTTTATGTGAAATTTGTTTCATGAGAGTAATCTCTTGGGAATAATTGATCTCAGTTGGCATCAGAAGTAAGGGTACCCCAAAATTGGGTCAAGGTCAATAGTACCAAGAAAACAATTCGCTACCACCCTCCTGAAGTCCTTACTGCTTTAGATGGACTTGCACTTGCCAAGGAAGAACTGACTATCATTTGCAAAACTACTTGGGAGAGCTTTTTAGCTGGATTTGGTAGTTATCATGCAGATTTTCAAGCTTCTGTTCAAGCCTTAGCTGCTCTAGATTGTCTGCTCTCACTTGCTATTCTTTCTCGTAATCAAGTACGCAATCGTATAAAGTTATTCTTTAATATAGTCCCTCTCTTGATCTTGTAATATTGAGACTTGTCCTGAATGGCCCTCACTTATAACTTCTTAATCTTTTGCAGAATTATGTTCGTCCTGTTTTTTTGGAAGAGAATGAACCTGCACAGATACAAATTCAGTCCGGTCGACATCCGGTATGTTCTTTACTTGAATGCTTTATTTTTGTTCTTACTTATGCAATGAGGCATGTTACTCATGATCAGAATAACAAAATTGGCCAAAGTACATGTCTTAAATGGGGCTGAGAGACGACTTAAAAAAATTCTTATTATATAACAACTAATAATGACTTCTATTGTTCTACTATGCTGCAAGGCTCCTGTATGTAAGGATTTTTCTTTATATGATGGAATTATTGAGATGCATACTTTATCATGCATCGTTTTTTGTCCCTTTTTTTGTTGTTTTATGTTCTATCTGGAGGTTAGTTGATGTTTGTGACCCTAGCAGGGGCATAAATAGAAGGATTAAAAAATAGTATTGTTAGGTTAGATTATTTTCTCAATAAGGTCTCTCATTAAAAGTAAGTGGTCCTGAAGCTATGCCTCTCAGGATCCATACACCCCTGGCAGTGAAAGTTATTGGTTGATTAGTTTTCACAGAGAAATCCTCACACTTAAGATTATTCGTCAAAAACTGAGAAATGGGATGCCCATCTTCAAAATAGGGATATCATAGTTTTGGGTTTCTATGTGTGCTGCAAATTCTCAGGGTTGTTAGGGAAATGAGATGGTAGTACTGCATATTATAATATGCTGCCTTTAAAATATTGGTTATTTTGGGTGCATGGGGTGGGGTGGGGTGGGGTGGGGTGGGGAGCAAGGAAATTAAGATAATCTTCATGAGAGTTGGGTGCCATTGGAGAATAGAAGCTCGATGGAGGATCAGGTAGATTCACAATTCTTTTGGGAACCTGTGTCCTGCTGTCTTCCAGCTTTAAATCTGGGATGTGTTTGGGAGCTTGAAGGATGCATTCACAAGATACCTTTTTTCCTGTCTTGAGCCTTTCCTTTTATTGTCACTGTCTATTTGAAAACATATTCATTGATTAAGAGATGGCATAATATTATTAATATGCATTTTTTTTTTCCTTTTTTTCTTTGGTTTCTTTTTTAACACAGCCTTACTGTTACTCCTCATTGGCAGGTTCTGGAGTCAATTTTACAAGAGAGTTTTGTCCCTAATGACACCAATTTGCATGTAGAGAGGGAGTATTGTCAAATCGTCACTGGGCCAAACATGGGTGGGAAGAGTTGCTACATTCGCCAGGTTGCTCTTATTGCCATTATGGCTCAGGTTGGACTCCAACAGGCTTCTGCCATTTCTGTTGCTCCGCGTTGCTAAGAATTGTTGTTTTTACCATCCTGCACCACTAACCGAGACTAATTTCCCTGTGATTTTGCTCAGGCCTGCTGCTTTTATCATAATTGTCATGCATAGAGCTGCATATTTTCTTCTATCTTGATTTGACTCATGGATTCAATTTCAGTGTAGAAGCTATTGGTTCTCACCATCAAGGATAGCCTTTTTGTGTTGAATTTATAGTGTGGAATTCTGTTTTGGATATACATTGTCGGAGTATTTGTAGTTTATGACCCTTGTGCATTGAATGCTCCAACATTTTTGCACGCCTCACTTTTCACATCAGAGTAGACACTAATCATATTAAAATGTCTTGAATCCTACCTTGTCCAAAAGTCTGCTTGTGTGCTTCCCCCTTGCTTCTTAAGTCTGTATCCTTCCATAAATATGGACAAAATGTGGTCATCTTTTAGAAAGATGAAAGAAATGTAACAGAATATCTGAATGTCTTTCTATTCCTCCATGGTAACTTACAAACTTTGACAAATTTTTTCATTTGTTCTTCCAAACATGAAAGAACTCCGTGGAATTTTGAATTGGAGGTCATGATAAGAGATCCTTATTTTTCGAGTCCATATTCTTTAGTTGTCTTCAAAATTTTTCCCTTTTGTTTCCAATTATCGCTTCAGTTCTTTCTTTGTGCTTTTTGTGCTGACAAATAGTGAGAAAATAAGGAAAACTAGACCATATTGGTACACAATACTTCAAAGGGCCACCTTTCATTGCTGATTGTGTGCAGTAAAGATCAGCTGTAATAATTTGAATGTCTCGTGGGCCCTGTATGGTTAATCTCTACCATCCATCATCCAGAACAGATGGTGTATGCCCTTTGGAGTACTGTATCTCATATTCCAACAGATTATGGTACACCTTCCTAGGAAATATTGAAGCTCTATAAGAATGTCTAATCCAATCCCTTTATGTTGACTTCTTTATACCAACACCATTTTCATAAGAATGTGCCCTCTGATCCCTCTAGGTTGGTTCATTTGTACCAGCATCATCAGCAAGGTTACATGTCTTGGATGCCATTTACACTAGAATGGGGGCATCTGATAGCATCCAGCATGGGTCCAGCACCTTCTTTGAGGAGCTAAGTGAGACCTCATCCATACTCCATAGTTGCAGTTCACGATCTCTGGTGATTATCGATGAGCTGGGTCGAGGTACAAGCACCCATGATGGGGTCGCCATAGCCTATGCCACACTACATTACCTTCTCAAAGAGAAGAAATGCTTGGTTCTCTTTGTAACCCACTACCCCAAAATTATTGATATAAAATACAAGTTTCCCGGTTCCGTTGGGCCCTATCACGTTTCATATTTGACAACAAAGACCACAGAAAATGGAGAAAATACAGGTCATGGAAATGTGACTTTTCTTTATAAGGTTGTTCCTGGTGGGACAGACAAGAGCTTTGGCCTTAACGTTGCTGGGCTTGCACAGGTCAGTTTTTTCTGGAATACTGAACTTCTACTCTGATGCTTCTCTTTGCAATTTTTTTGAAGGGATTGTTTTAGTTTATTGGGGAGTTTCTGTAAATATAGCAATGGTTATTTTCTAATGAAGCTTCGGAACAGTTGGAAAATCCAGAAAAGTCACTTTCTTTGGTTGATCTCTGCAGAAATCCATTATATCTACATGAATCTTGTCAGCTTTGCATTCTAATTTTATTTCGTAAAAAAAAAAAATGAACAGGACAGAGAACATATGAACTGAATCTATGTTGCACAAGTTTTGAGTTGTTCACAATTCTTGTGTAGCTTCCTGCATCATGTATAGCACGAGCTGCTGTCATGGCTGCCAAATTGGAGTCAGACGTGTGCAGTCGGCTGAAGAACAGGTTATCGGGGAACATACAGAGAGTGTCAGTCATAGATCACAGCCCTTTTGATGAACACGGAGTTCGGGAGAAAGAATATCTTGAGGTTTTCTCTCTCTTATGGAACAGTTTGCTAGATTCTGATCCCTCAAACTGTCTTCACTCCTTGAAAGACATTCAGAAGCATGCATTGGAGATCTTTTCTTCAGAAAATGGTCAATAAACAGGTCAGGAAACTATATTCATTTTTATTTTAAAAATATGAATAAGACTGCATATTTGTTCTAAAAAATGGTGATGAACATGTACTCTGATGATGAAGAAATGACTTTTGGAACCACATGTGAACAAAAGAACCTATACTACACATACTATTATTCTTGTGTTTCCAATCTATTTATCATAATCATGAAATAAGGGTCCTTGATTCTGTTGATTTGAATAGTTGCCTTTCGACTTTCCCATCAACAATATACTTCTTACAGATAAGGTTCCTTAACTTTTTGATTTTTCTATTGACTTTAGAATGCTAACAATTGGGGTTGCCTTAGTTCTTGGACTTTTCTATCTACAATTGTCCTAACAAATAGGGTTTCTTTATCTGTATGAGATTAACATAGAGTCCTAATTTTATGAAATTCCTAGGAAAAGTAGTAAGCAATATATCACCTTCCTAGTTTTTTGGGGAAATTTTTAATTGCGGAAATTATTTTTAAAGAATATTTATATGAATTTAATAAAAATGAGTAGTATAACATCTTCCAAAAGTTTTTATTTATTAATTACAAATTTACTATGTATAGAGAGTTTAAGCCATTTTAAGACAATGGATTTGAAAATAAGCAATATAAGACTCATTTTTTAATTTTAAAGTACGGAACTTTATTGCCAAAATAATTATTCATGCCAATGAAAAATATGCGATTAAATTATTTATTTTTCAAATAAGGGATTTAAAACTTGCCTTTATTCTGGTTTTTCCTATTTGCAAAATAGAGTTATAAAATTTTATTTTGAAAATAAAAAAGAAATAGTTTATGCTACCTTGGAAACAACATATTTGAATTAACTAATATAAAACCATGCAGAGTTTTTGGGATTCTAATAATGAATTTATCATTCAATAAATCATTTTTTTATTTATTTAAGAATGTGAGTTGATTTTATCATTCAATATATCATATATATATTTTATTTAAGAATATGAGTTGATTTTTTAATCTTTTAAAAGATTTTTATTTTTTTTGGAATAATTTATGTCAATTTAAAATATGAACTTCAAAAAAATAAATTTACTTTTTTTTTTCATTTTTAAATGAGGGCTTCAAGGGAATAGTCTATCCTTGAATAGTAAAGTCCTAATATAAGTTGCCCTTTTTTCTGCATGTAAGGTGGTTTAAGTTCTGTAATTTTTTGGATTCCTCTTTCAGTTGAAATAAAAAATTAGGGTTGTAGCACTTTTTTATTCTATTAGTTACGTTCTTTTTTTATATAAAAGATGATTTGTTTCAATCTAAAATAAGAGATTTATGAAGTAGCTCATTGTTTGATTAATTATGCATAAGGTGTAGACTTGGTTACTCGTGTGCATAAGACAGTTCTCTTCCCGTTGAGTGTGTTTGAGTGAGAGAGAGAGAGAGAGAGAGAGAGAGAGTCAATGATACCTTACCATTGAATGATTTTGTGTGTGAGAGAGAGATTCATGATACCTCACCATTGAATGATTTTGTTTGTGTGAGAGTGTGTGTGTGTGTGAGAGAGAGAGAGAGAGAGAGAGAGAGAGAGAGAGAGAGAGTAC